GGTACTGGGCAGCGTGACTCTAGGCGGGTGATGGAAATAGCTTTGTGCCCCAGATGACAGTTGATATGTATTAATCGAGTAATAGAGTGGATCACGTTAAATCACTGAGCAGTAAGAAGTGTTTTTTAAATGTGACTTGCCATTTTGTGGCCTCTTTGTGCTCCAGGAGTGCTTGCTGTGATTCCAGGTTATTTTTCTGCTGTGGGATCACGAAGCAGTAATGATATGATATCCCTTTGCTGTTACGGAGACAGCCATTAAACAGCCTCATCTCACTCGCTGCGCTGAAGAGTAGATTTACAGCTGTGTGGTGAGCATAAAACAAAGGATCAGAGGATGCAAGACAGACTCCTGCAGCAGACAAACATACGTAGTAGCAAAACTTGATTTTTTTCTTAAATTTACTTATTTGTGTTTTCAAATTGGCTGACTTGATTAATGTGGCCTGATGTATGCCAAGCTGTTCAGCATAAACTCAGCCATATTTCCCCTTCCTCCATCTCCCCTTCTCATCCTTCATTTGTTTCTGAATTGGCTTCTTACATAAAGGAGTAACCGCGAAGAATTCACAGTAAAAAATATCCTCCATAAGTATATTTTATTCCATATGTTTCTTTGCACGTTCTCCTGATTGTAGGCTTGGGCTTCACGTACAATAAAGATCTTGGGCCTGAGAAAGGTGACAGTGTCCACAGTCCAGTAGTGCTCTGGCCACTGCCCTGTCCGCCTGCCTGGTTCCCTTGTGGGGCACGTGGGGGGGATGTGGGGATTTGGTCCATGGATGAGCCGGGCAGAGGTTTCTGCTGGGTCTGGTGTCTCTGGTTGGTCCATCAGTCTGTTTCTGGAGTGAAAAAAGACATGTCTGAGCCTCGGACCAAGGATGGAGTAAACCCCTTCTCTCCCCTGTTTCAGGACAAGTGATGCTTCTCAATGAGAGCTCAGCGAGGTCCTTAAATTAAACCCAATGCTATACATTAGGAGGTTTTCTCCAGCCTCTCAGAACTTACGGAGAGTTTTGTGAGCGTGATTTAATGGGACGTAGTCAAGCATGATTTAATGGGTCATAAAATGCCTCTTACTCTGATATCCCATTGATCTAAATGAGAGACAGAACTGTAAGGGATCTGTTTCTCTTTGCTCTTGATTCATGATACTTTGATATAGATCCTGCAAGCAGGTGCCAGCCTACATTTAAGTGAAGAGAGAAGGATTTAGTGGGGAAAATGTCGATGTGTAACTCGCAGTAATTAGTTTACAGGCGTTGGGAAGTAAGTAGCGTTCCGTGCTGCACCAGTCGAGTGTTTCTCCTCTAGCAAAGGGGGATTGCGAGGGATCAGCTGCAGCCTGCTTCGGTTTTCTCCAGCCAGAAACATCTTCAGGTATAGAAGGCCGGGTATCACCCTTTGGTCAACTGGTGGAGTGCCTCTGTCGTGCAGCTCTGCCTTGGGTCCGCGTGCAGATGGGCGCTTGGCTGATGATACGGGGGCAGGAAAAAGTTTCTTAGCCTTTTGGTAATGATCGAAAACCGAAAGTGAGCAAATTTAAATTTAAAATGAGGTGTTGGTCTTTAACCCGATGGGTAACTAATCACTGACACTGACAGGAATGTATTGTGGGGGTTTTCTATTGTATTTCATTTAAATTTAACAGTTTTCAAATGTATGAAGTGTTCCCTTGGAAATCCAACTTACAGGACTGAGACTTGCTTGTGGGCAGACCAGATACAGTGTGAACTGAGTGTTCTTGAGATTCTCCTAGAAGATGTTAGGGGCTGCAAAGGTTTTCCAGCCTACCTAAGAAATGGATTTGCTTTGCTGTTATTTCAGGTTCTGGAAAAGATTTAGAAGAATCTCAGCACAATGTGTTTATTCCTAGAGCATCTTGTCTCCCATGTGCTGCTAAGCCTCGAGCTCCCCTGAGAACCTTCTCGAATATCACATTTATCTCATTAATTGCTAATCCCCAAAAAGACCAGCCCACAGTCTGAGCTGAGGACCACAGCTGTGCTAGAATCCAGTTCTGGCCCTGTGCGTCCCTTTTTGGGTAATTAATGAGACTGGAATTCTGACTTTAGAAGTATTTTGACCTAGGATCTGAATTTTGCAGGTGCTTCTTGCCTGAGGGCAATAACTGTGGGCAGAGGGGGAAGATGTGTCTCAGGTGTGGTTTGATAACCCGTGCCTTGCTTGGGGCTCATCCCCGAGCCCCTCGTCGTTGCTCCTGCTGGGACCCGCGGTTGGTGCTGGCTTTTCTGTGCCATTCCTCTGGGTTGCACTTGCAACACTGAAGGCAGCAGAAATTTCACTACATCACGTGTCTTTCCACCTTACACTGTTAGAAGAAAATGCAGCCCCTTAGGGTTGAAAAGGTGTTTGTGCTTTGGGGTACGGGGGGGGAGATAGGGGATGGAGCTCCGTGAGCCGGAGCGATGGGCATCCCGGCAGCCTTGCCTGCCCGCGGGAGCCAGCACGGTCCTGACCTGCTGACCCACTGCCAGATGGCAAATCCTGCCCAAACTGCTGTCTGAAATGTTTGTGGGAGTGAAACAGTCAAACCTGTCTGCCTCCACCTGTAAATGGTCTGAATGATAAGGCCGAACCACAGAGGCCAGTTCAGTCCATATAAAATGCTTTAAATAAATGACTAAACCAAACCCCACCACCTCCCATCTCACG